ATTGAGTGAAGTAATGACAACAACAGTCGATCAAGAAAAGAAAGGAAGAAGCCAGTGTCAGATCCAAACACTTTGTGACTACACTAAATACTATTGCTCTAGCTAGACTTGTAGCAGTCACTCACCCTTATCGTAATCATCCGCAGAGATCAAGGTTGTGCTAAAACCCATGCTGCGGCAATCAGGCGATTCGTAATATTCGTCAAAGTCACAGTCATCAGTTTGCTCTTCGGACAGTTCCATGTCATCATGCAGCGAGGTCTTTGGGTGTTTTGAGTATGATTTCACAGCAGAGTAGATTGAATCAAAAGCCTCCTCAACATGATGATCCATTTCAACATCACTAACAATGGCAGCATCATCTTCCTTCTCAACAGATTCGGTGTAAAGCTCATCTTCGCTCTCGTCGTCATCGGAAAGACCGTAGCGAGAAAAATGGCCCACTGGGAGATGCAGGAAACGTATTGTGAGCGGCATGCAACATGTACCAGATGACATATGATGGCATTGTAATTGTCGTGACTTACCTGCGATTTTCCATGAGCCCGTGTCTTTGTCATATTTGATAAGCTCAGCGTCCATCTTTACAGTTTGACGCTCAATCCTTCGAGCGAACTTGACCTTGTCTTCGACGCTGGCATTAGCCCCTCCATTCTTTGGGAAGACATTGAAAAAGGTAATAACTGCAGGACGATTCAGTTTAGACCCGACCAGAGGCTTTCTTCCTTCTTCTTCATCCTTGGTGTAGACAGATACATCATTCTGCCCAATCACAATGGAATTATCCAGGTCGGCATTGCGAACATCAACGGCACCTTTCCACTCAACCAGACCGTAAGGGTCGCAACGAATTGAAAAATTTGACACAGCTGCCAAATCTGCCTCTGACAGAGTTGCAAGCTCATCCAATGAGGGTGTAATGACGTAACCTGGCTTTGTTAGCTTTGGCAAATAAGAAGGCTTTTTCTTTGTGACTCGAGCGCTTTGCGGCGCTGGCCGATCTGCAGGATTGCCATCTGGTGAATCAACAACCTGCTGGTAATAGTCTCGATCAGGATCTGGAGGAGGGGGGTCGATCTTCTCGGCAGTGACAGGAGGAATTCTGCTTCCTCCGTTGACAGTTGGGGATGTAGGGGTGCCAGCGTTTGCCTCGTTCCCAAACACTGGAACAGAAGTCGGCGTGCTTGTCTGCATCTGCGACTGTCTGGGAGAAGGGGACGATGCTGGCGGGGCTGTTGCAATTGATGGACCAGCATTTCCAGGGGCTGGGCTCTCGGCTTCAAGTGACACTGGCAGCGCATGGGTTGTGACATCAGAGGCACTCGAAGGTGCGTTCATCAATCGCAACTGCAGCTTTGGTTTGGGAGTCAGGGAATCTTGCTTGATTACGAGCTTTTTCGCCGAGGAAGACACGTAAGCCTCTGGAGACATCATAGCCCGACCGCCTGTACCCATAGTGTCCAAGGGCGACGCAGATGATGAAGGCGCCGCGATAGCTGAACCAAAACCACGAGGCCTGAGCTTTTTCGCCGCTGAACCAGGATTGTGCCGATGAGGGGTGTATGGCGACGACCGCACGAGGCCACTGGCCAAGCCTCCGTACTGGGGCTGCGAGACGGGAGTTACACGCGACTCCTCAGGTGATTTTGTTCTCCACACGTCCAGCTTTTGCACTTCCTTTCGTTTATTCTCGAGTGCCTGGATTTGATGAGACAAGACTTCGCTTGCTGCCTGGGGAATGATGGCTCCCGCCGGAATCATCATGGGAGCTGCCGCCATGGCCGGTGGGGAGCCAAAAAGACTGGGCGCGGCAGCCGTGGGTGCGCCGAAAGCGGTCGGAGGACTACCAAATGCCGCCGGCGCTGGAGCCCCGAATAAACCAGTGCCAGGTGGCTTTGCCCCGAACAGGCTTCCTGCCGGTGGGGCTGGTGCTAGCAAATAATGACAAAAAAAAATCGTTAGTGAGGAAGACTTGATTGTTTCAAGGGAAACACCGGAAAGAAACGTACCACCAAACAAGCCTCCAGGGGCAGGTGTTGCTCCGAAAGCGGGCGCAGGAGCGGGTCCAAACAAACCACCACCAGGAGCAGGAGCTCCAAAGCCAAACGCCGGTGGGGGAGCTGAAATGTTGAAATAAACAAAACACACAAGGTCAGTGGAGAAAACAAAGAAAAAATCAACAAAGAACGAGACTTGCTTACCTGGGGCTCCAAATGCAGGCGCGGGTGTGGAACCAAACAACCCTCCAGGGGCAGGTGCGCCAAACAAACCGCCAGGAGCGGGCGCAGGCGCTGCAGAGAGAAGTAAGCAAACATAGCAAAGGTGAAACGACAACCAAAGACGGCAATGTGGATGGGAACAAATCAACAACACATCGTACCTCCAAAGAGACCTCCTGGGGCTGGAGCGGGTGCTGGGAGAGAATTAGTTTTAGCAGAAAGAGTGTCAGCGCAGTCGAACAAATGAACACAAATCATTGGTCAATTCAATAATGATAGATTCACATACCTCCGAATGCGGGGGCAGCTGCTGGTGAACCTCCTCCAAATAACCCCCCTTGTGCAGGAGCTGGTGCTCCGAAGAGGCTTCCAGTTGCTGGTTTGCCAAAGGTACTGCTACCAAATGCAGGCGCAGGAGTGGCGCCGAAAGCGGGAGGAGCAGGCGCGGGTGCTAATGCGAAAATGAAATGGAGGAGAATACAGCCATGAGAGAAATGCGTGAGAACAGAAACCTCAGCTGCAACTGACACGACCCGTGGCTGGAAAGATCTCTTCGTGTAGCCCTCAATCCGGTGCCACTGAGACTGTGAAGGCGGTCCTTTACAATAATCTCAAAGTACTAGTACCAGATGGCTTGACAAAAGGGACACTTCTTCCCAGCACTTCTTCCCAGCCACAATCGTGTCATCACATTGCACTGTGAACAGAATAGTCTTGGACGTACCACCAAAGGTTGAACCAAAAGCGGGGGCCGGTGCTCCGAATGGGGCAGGTGCTAAAAAGAAAAACGCCACTCTCCCGGTCAGTACTTTTGACGATTCCAGCTCAACCCGATCGCCTTTGATATCCAATTTCGTTCCAAACTAACTTACCTGGTGCTCCAAATGGCGCTGGAGCCGGTGCCCCGAAAGGGGACGTGGAAGGAGCCCCAAATGCGGGTGCTGGAGTGGCACAAAGAGACCCCCCGACGGTGCAGGAGCTCCAAATCCGCCAAAACCAGTCGAGGCAGCATTCCCTGCTCCCTTGTTTCCTTGAAGGTAATCTTCGTACCTCAATTCGTCGAAATTCTTATTCTCATAAGCCGGCATTGCCGAGATGGACTGCATCTGGATGGTGCTAGTACCGTCCTGGCGTGGTGTGGGTTGATAAGGTGTTTGTTTCGATCCACCCCCACCTGGTTGTCCAGGGGCTGCTGCTGCAGGAGCCCCGAACAAGCCTGTTTGCCAAAAAGAAATGTAAGAAAAAACAGATTGAGACGTTCATGATGGAATTTCACGCAAACAAAGCTCCAATTCTAATTAAAGCAAAACGAAACATACCTCCAGGTGCAGGCGCAGGAGCCCCTCCAAAGATACTACCCGGTGGAGGCGCAGGTGCCCCAAATGCGGGTGCAGGAGAAGCTCCAAAAGTACTCCCAAAGGCACTTGGGGCTGGTGTTGGCGCCGCCCCAAACAAACCAGTCGAGGGGGCTGGAGCCCCAAATGTGCTAGCGCCAAAGGCAGGAGTTGGTGCTGGTGCCCCAAAGGTACTCGCTCCAAAAGCAGGCGCTGGAGAAGCTCCAAATGCGGGCGCAGGAGCTGGGGCCCCAAACAAACCTCCTGATGGGGCAGGGGCTGGTGCTCCAAACAAACCACCCGGGGCAGGGGCTGGTGCGCCAAAGGGAGATGCATTGTTGGTGGCGCCAAATCCTCCTCCACCAAATGCGGGGGCTGGGGCAGGAGCGCCGAATCCACCCCCACCAAACGTACTGGTAGCACCACCACCAAAAGTACTAGCTCCAAAGCCACCAGGAGCTGGTGCTGGAGCCCCAAATCCAGTCGAGGGCGCTCCAAAGGCGGGCGCTGGGGCAGGAGTACCAAAGGCAGGAGCTCCAAACGCGGGTGCTGGGGCCCCAAAAGGGGCAGGGCTTGGACTACCAAATCCACCAGTGGGTGGAGGTGACCCGAAAGGAGAATTGTTGGCTGGGGCTCCAAACATTTCGACCTTTTCAGTTAATTGTTGCTATTTTCTTGCGAATGGCTTGTTGATTAATTCACGTAACAAATTCCTAGGAAGCTGGAAGGATTCTAATGTTACTGACGCTCTTGTGTGTGTAGGTGTGTAACAAACAGCCAGGACGGAAGCTTTGGTTGCTGCGATTTCTCTAGGCCACGTTGTGATCACAACGGCGAAATCAATTTGTCTCTTGTCTCGCTGCTGCTTTGCGGTGAGACGTTCAACGCCTTGTCCAGCGCGTTCTGCACGTTTCGACTACGATCAGCTCTCTCTCTCTCTCTTCCAAATTCCAACACACAATGCAGCAATCGATGGTGACCGATGGCAACTTATGGTAGGCAAGGACACTGGAAGACTAAGCAAGGAGATGAAGACCACAGCTTTGGAAGGGAAGAGGATCCACAATAATGGCTGCAACACAAAGCGATGGCTTTGGCGCTGTCAACAAGGGAAGCAGGTAGGCGCAAAGTGCGAAAAATCTAGCCTTGCGGGAAAACAACGCAAAGATTTATTTTGATCTGGGCTTCTGGGTCCCCCGACGATGGCAACACACAAAGAGTGGACCCACGGACCTGTTGGACCCACGGACCTGTTGGTTCAGGAGGGACATAGACAGTACCTGGTACCGGTGCATGGAACTGCACATGCTCAGTCTTTGATCTACATTCTCAGATATGCATAGAATATAGGAAGGGGAGTAAGCAAAAGCTAAGCACCTTATAGTTAAAGTGACGTGGGATGTACCCGCCTGCAGAACTACCTGCATGAAAGTGTCTTCCGGCTGCTACATGTACCGTATGAGCAGCTTACGAGCTATGTATGAAATTTTTTTCGCTGTTACGATTTGGCTTTTTCATGTGGAGGTTTTAGTTGTGTGAAATGGCAGAGACAAAGCAAGCATACGGTGGACATGTTCAGCAGAAGGTTTATCAAGCTGTCCAGGCAGATTTGGCCCCTCCTCTGAAGTCATCTAGAGTTTCTTTCAACATACCACGATTATGTAGACTATGTGTGCAATGCTGATTAGTGCTTTCTTGGTCTTCCAAAGCAAAATCTTTCTAGGGCATACCTTCTCAAAATAACGTTCCCGTTGTTCATCAATGTCTTCTGTCAAGGTGTTTGCTGACTTCCCGCCATCAACTGATATCATGGAAGGACTACCATTATGGTTGCTACGTTTCTTGACATCCCCTCTAAATGGTGAAATACCAGCTCTTCCCTTGCTTTGCCTTTGACAAGGTTACTCGTACGCTTCTCAGTTTGTGAAGGTCCGAACCCAGGAGATCTATAAAAGCAAGCAAGGAGGTTTTGTACTTCATGGTATCTTATGCACAATATCTTCCACCACAGAATGATGGTTCTGTCTACACCAAGGACAAGGAAGGAGCATGAAAGCCTGCTGTCGGATCTGAACTGAATCAATCTTCTATAAGTTAGATAAGTGTCTTCTCCATTGTCTTACCAAAGAATGGAGGCACTGATGCAAGTGTAGTAGGCAAGATTAAGAGTCGATGGACAAAGATGGGCACTTGAGCCCTTATCAACTATGACGGGATCATGGACAAAAGCAACGGGTTCTTGCTAGCAAGGAGTTGCTACCGTATGGGCTTTTTTATGAGAAGAAAAATGTCAGAGGCTCGCCGGAACCTTTCCTCACTTAAAGCGCTCTGCTGGCTTAAAAGCGAAGCCTTGATTATTGTTGCCATCAGATTTCTTCGCCGCCATTTTGAATGATTTGACCTGCTTCCGCTAACTTGAAAGCCAAAGGAAGCAATAGCAAGATGACATGGTCACCCTCACGGAACAGTGCCTTTCGTCGGGTTTCGGAATCACCAGCCGATGCATCTAGTGCTGATGTTGGGGTTGAATTCCTTGGAAGCCAAGAGAACGGAATGGTTCTGGTTCACCCAACCACCAATGATTCTCACCTTCTAGTGCTTTGTCACGAGTTGAATCGTCTCATGCAGCTACCAGCTGTCACCAATGACTTCGGCAAGTGGATTGGCGATCCAGAAAAGGATTATTCGGCCCGCAATATCCAAGGTGGGCGGATTGAGATTTTCTTGGAAAATGCTGTCGGCAAAGGATCAAACGCATTTGATGCCATCATTGGTGAGCGACTTCCAGGCGGCGCCAAAGACAAAATATTGAACTATGCTCGAAGTCAAGCCCAACGAGATCCACGGTTGGGCGACATGGAGTACGGAAACTTTTCACTGATCTGCACATATGGCCCGGTCGATGCACAAGCTCCTCACTTGGACAGCCTCAAGCCCAACTTTCAGTTTGGATTGATCCTATCTGACAATGCTCCTGGAACGCTCTTTTATGAATCCGCAGTGGATGTCAGTGATGTGAATGCTCTTGTCGAACACTGGAAAAATGTGGATACAATACTAGGCTCACCCTACAAGCGCGCAACAGCGATGCCTCCAGCATTAGTCCAGGCCATGGAACGAGACGCTAGCGTGCTCCTTCTGTTGTCGCACTTTGGACGGGTCTTGTTGCCAGAACGTAGCGTCTATGATCGTATGCGACACAAAGAAAAGTTGGCCACAGGCAGTCTCCTTTCATTGCCGGGGAGCGTCGTACATGCAGGTAAGTCAGGAAACTCGCTCACCGTGCCATCACTGCAGCAGCATAGCAGCATGCCACTCACATTCATCTCTTTTTTTCCGGTGTCAGGACCCGCCTCTACAGACTTTCGTGCCGTCATCTTCTTTTCTGGCTGGCCCAACGGGAGCGAGGTAGCCCCATACGATCCCGATGTCCAGTATACAAGCGTCTTGCTCATGGCACATTTTGTGAGTCTTCTGTGGCAAGCTGAGGGGGTTGGCTATCCGGAACGACTATACCTGCTGCAACGATTGGCGCAATACACCGAAACGTCCATGGTGAAGGAAGTCTACCGGCATTTCGGCCCTGGCCCGCTAGCCAATTTCATCGGCAATATTGAAGAGCAAACTTACAAAAAGTATGCCTCGAGAGAGGATTACATTGAGCAAATTGCGCGGACGAAAGACATGGGTGCTGGTCTTGGTGGAGGTCCTACCGAAGAACAGCCATTTGCTGAGGGAGACTACAAGAAACGCTCCATTGCGGGCATGTTGACTCTTTGGGAGGGCGAAGAATTTCTTGTGGAGGTACTTCAACGCAAGGCTGATGGACAGATCATTCTTCGTTATCCCAACAACGAAGATGGCAAACCGGACGAATTGGAGGGAAACTTGCCAGAAGACAATTTCCAGCTCGTCATGAAGAAGCGCAGTCAGCAAAATCTGTTTGATGGTACCAATGGCACACTCTACGACAATGACGGGAACAAAATTCATGTGTACATGGGGCGAAAATCATGAATGAATAGATGAACACAATAAGGTATAATAGGAAGCAACCAATACATGCTATTGTAGTAAAAAGAACCCAATTGGCAGTACTGTATGTAAATTGATTGCCTAACTATCATAGCTCACCACTCCGTCTCACGAAAGTCTTTCAAGAAAACGCCGTACACCTTCTTGGAATCCCTGCCACCGTTCACACCGCTAAAGATGGGGTCCAATATTCGAGATGCCGCATCCACCTCATCAATGGGCGTTTGAAAGTGATTGACAGCCGCAATTTTGCTGGCTTTCTCCAGTGGATTCTCATCATTGATCCATCCCGTATCGACTGAATTCATGTAAATGCGGTGTTTCTTGGCCAAGTCCTCGGCAGACGTGCGGGTCATCATGTTCAAAGCCGCCTTGGCCATGTTTGTATGAGGGTGGTTTGCCATCTTGTATCGATAGAACTTGCCCTCCATGGCGGAAACATTGATAATGAACCGATCCGGCCTCTTGTCATGGGGAATGGTCATGAGTGGCTTTAGGCGCGAGTTCAAGACAAATGGAGCAATGGCATTGATGAACATGCATTCCATGACCTCCGGGGTGGACACTTCTTCCATTTTCAACAACCACGAGTTTTGCGTTCGAAGATCCAGCTGATGTCCATTAATGTCGGTCAATCCGGGAGGAAGAATTTGATCCGATATTCCCACATCCTCTGGAAGAATGACCATTTGTGACATGGCCGCACTGTGGGACAGTCCACTGGACTCAAACGGCGAAGATTGTTGTTGTTTTTGTTTTTGCGAGGACGTGTCCTTTTCCACAACCGTCGATACCACGGCAGTCTGATTCGGGTCCTGTGATGGTTTGTCCGCCACTGTTGCAGTGTTTCCAGCCTCCATTCCCATGAGCAACAGTGGCGCCTCTGCTGCAGGTAGTGCTGATGGACTTGCAGTAGATTGTGGGGCTTGGTGCTGCTCGTGAAGTTTCCGTCGCACGGCTTCAAACTGCAAACATCCTTGAAGCAACGATTTGTGGATTGGATCGCTGTCTTTCCAAAGCGTTTGTTCCTTTTCGACCATGGGCACATAAAAGCCTCTTGGTCGTCGAATGGTTTGACAAGCATTGTTGATGAGAATATCAATTCCCTGCGAGCAAGTCATTTTAAGAAATCGAGTAAACGCTTCCAATCCAGTGACATCTCTCAAATCGAGTCCATAAATCTGTAGTCGATCCTTCCATTGCTCAAAATCGGATTCTTTGCGATAGACTTCGGCAGCGGCATTGGGAAATCTTGTCGTGGCCACTACGGTGGCTCCTGCTCTCAACAATTTGAGACACGTCTGATAGCCAATTTTGACCCTAGATCCCGTGACAATGGCAACTTTGTTGGCGAGATTGGCCGTCTGATGTCGCTTTTCCCAATTCAACGCCGCACAGGTAGGACAGAGTTGGTCGTAGAAATGATGCAAATCCCGATATCGGACTTTGCAGACATAGCAAGATCGCAATTTGGGCAATTTGATGGAATCTTGGTTTCCCCCGTTGGTGAGCTTTTTGGTTGTGTCGCTATTACTATCGACGTGTCCATCGGGTACCATCATGGCGAGTAGCTTCAGTTCTTCCTCTTCTTGTGCATCATTCTTGAGACTGTTGAGTTTTTCGACGCGTCCCTTGCGCAGTGTGGTGTTGGCAATGTGTTTCTTTTGCATATTCCCTTCGGCCATTTTTTGTCGTTTCAAGCTTCGATCTTGTTTTCGCTGTTCGTAGTGAACTTCTTCGTGCTTGCCATTGAACATGGTCCGTTTGTGCAGTTCCAAACAGCCGGCCAATGCCTTGCGGAATGGACGCAAATTGGATTTCTTGTAGAGATCAAGGCCATCTTCTTCTGGTTCCTTCGTTTCTTCTTCTTTCGGCTGATCATCATTATCGTTCTTTCGTTTTCGGTTCTTGCGCTGATTGAGTTTTCCCACGGCATTCAACACTTTGACGGCAATCGCCAAATCCTCCTCGGAGATACCATCATCCGCCAATTGTGGAACCATGACAGTGCCATTCGACTGTTGTTTGCTTGCGTCTTTTGATTCTGGCTGCTCGTTATTCATCGTGTCCTCTTCTTTCTTCGCATCATTGATGAGAAATGGACGGTAGAGGGCACTTGGCGAAGTGATGGTGGGTTGGTGCCATTGCCAATGTTATTAGCGTTAGAGGTTTGATCGAATGGTCTGTCTGCTCTTCCAAAGCTCGCATGCAGCTGATCCATTCACTCCAGTGCGAAGGAACTGGGTGGAAGCAGAACAACGTGCTGACTGGCCGCACGGAAATGAAGCATCAAAGATGGGGTAAATAACAAAACAAATGTAACAAAATAAAACCTCAACCTTTAGAAACTTGGGTTTGGATCTTTGTTCTCGCTGGTTGTGTTTTACAAGGAGGGATCCCATGTTGTTGTTTGTTGTTTGTGTTGGATAAGGCACTCGGATACGATTGGACTGAATCATTCATTACTAAGAACTTCCAACTCATTAGTTGCTGTTGACCATGGTGAAGAGCCGGTACTTGTGCTCGGCTCCTCGCCCTGAGACATGGGATGAACGTGCAGAAGCGTTGCTCAACAGCTTGGGGGGATCCACGGAAAAGATCGAGTCCACTTTGAAGCAGACGCTCGAGTCGTTGAAAGCCATGCAGTAAGTGGTGTTCTCGCTGTTGTTGAAGAGGTTACAGTGATAATGGAATGTCGTCTTACTGACTCACTGTTATCTGTCTTTATGTTATCTATCTTATCTTTGGTTTTGATTACGCTAGTGCGGACAAGCAAAAGACTGGGCCAGGGAGAAAGAGCAACGCGGAACATGCAATTGCCTTTTATGAATATGTACTGGAGACTATCAACGAAAAGAAGGAGGAAGAAGAGAACAAGAAGAAAGGAAAAGATAATGACACTGCTTCGACGACGAATGATGACGACGACAAGAAACCTGCAGCAACGACGACATCCACAACAGAAGATGCAACAACACCGGAACCACCCCCACAACCCGTCAAGCGCAAGCGAGGAAGACCACCTAAGAATAAGAACAAGTTGATGGCGGCTGCTGCTGCCGCGGCTAGGACTGGAGAACCACCGAGGAAGAAACCAGCCACTCAATTGCAGGTAGACACGACAAGAATGGCCCGAAAAGACAGATCGCCGGATGATCATTCCATTGCATCCATGGACACGCAAGAATTCATCAATCAACACAATGATCTCTGTGAAGTATGTAGTAAGGGTGGTGAATTGCTCATGTGCAGTACCTGCAATCTCGTCTTTCATTTGGCATGTGTGCGGCCCAAAATGGAAGAAGAACCAGAAGATTCCTGGGTTTGTGCATACTGCATCATGTCGGGGGTCAAGGGGCTCAAACAAAATTCCAAACTGCGCAAAAATGCCGCCGTGGCGGTAAGACTCATGGCCAGAATGAGAAAATCATTACAGAGACAACGACTCAGAAGCCAGCAAGAGGAAGAAGGGGAAAACAGTGCGGATGAGGATGATGATAATGACAAACTGCGGGAAGCAAGGATCAATGAACATAAGAGATTACAATCCCTGAGATCCAAGTTCTTTGGCAACAGAGTCACGTTGGAGGGTGATGAAAAAAACGACAGTGAAGAAACCAAGGAAGCGGATGAAGATGCCAAGCCGCGGGTTGTTGCTGTCAAAGCCAGAAAGGCAACGGAAGAAACAAAGGACGAGGAAGGTGACCGAATCGTTGTTGCAAAGAGGGCAACAGAAGAGACAAAGGAGGACGATAAGGCCGTTGCCGATGCCAAAGATAACACGGCAAAAGGGGATGGTATCCTGCTTGCCAAACCTACTGCAATTGGAAAAGTATCTTCCACTGATGATGAAGTCAAAGAGGATGATGGCGAAGGTGCCATGGATGACACTAATTTGCACGACGACAATGTGAAAGTTGACGTGGAGGCTCCCAGAGTTGCTGATTCTGATGCCAAACCTGCCGCCACGGGGATTGCGTCTTCCTCGGATGATGAAGTCAAGGAGGATTATGGCGACAGTCCAATGGAGGATGGTAAACAACAGGACAAAGACAAGAACGACGAGATCGAGGAGGAGAAACCTGATGCGAAAACTCCTCCCGCCTCTGATAATGAGGACGCAGACGACACATCAACAAGCAAACAAGGAGACGACAATGATGAAAAGATGGATGCAGGTGCGAAGGAAGAAGGGGCTGCTCAACAAGGCGATGGAACTGAGGACGATGCAACGGATGAGGAAGAGAAAGAACCTACAGTATTGGAAGACGACAACGTCGACTCCAAAAAGGAGGAAGAGAAGATTGATTCCTCAGAAAGCAAAGAGGAAGTCGACTCTAAAGGAGGGGAAGAGCAGATGGACTCCGGAGAGGATGGAGAGGACAATGTCGAGGCTGAAGAGGAAAAGGTTCAGTCCAAAGTTGCTGAAGAGGACAAAGAAAAGGTCGATTCCGGGGCTGAAGAGGAAAAAGTTGACACCAAAGCGGACGAGGAAAAGGTCGACACCAAAGACGATGAGGGAGAGACCGGGTCTAAAGAAAGCAAGGAAGAGACCGGGCCCAAAGAAGACAAGGAAGAGAACGAGCCCAAAAAAAACAAGGAAGACGCTGGGTCCAAAGCGGAACAGGAAGAGACGACGGCCAAAGGCAAGGTGAAAGGCGACGATGACCAAACAGAGAAAGTCGAAACCGAGGAAGCACCAAAAACTGAGGAGAAAAAGGACGGAAGTGAGACGAAGACACCAAAGACCGAGGAGACAAAGGATGAAACTGACACGGATAAGCCAGCAAACGAGGGTGTCAAAGAAGACAACGAGGGTGCCGAAGAAGACAACGAGGCTGAAATCATGACACCACTGCGAAAGAATCACACTCCAACTATAGCGGAGGCAGTCAAGATGGAAGACGACAGTGGGAGATACATCCGCCGCAATAGGAAGAAGGCAACGTACTACGATCCAGGGACTAGGATCGCGGCTTCAAAGTGGCAAACAGACGGTGTTTGGAAGGCACCGGAACAGGCTGACGGTACTCGTGGGAGTGATGATGATGACGAAATGGACGACGAGTACGTGGACGAGGCCCAAGCAACGCCGGGGAAATCCAAGGAAGGAACCGACGAAGCCAAGGAAGGCGATGGTGTTGACATTGTAGCCAGAGACGTTTCCCCAAAGAAAGCTGGCAAGGAAGGCGCTCCATGGTGCAATTTCTGCAAGGATGACAAAACTATTGTTGTATGCTGTTTTTGTGCTTGCAGGGTCTGTTTTGGGAAGCACGAGCAGGTGAGTACGGTTCTGGTTCTCTCCGTCCACAATCTGCGACTGGAAACATGGTGACTCACCAGCAAGTTTCGAATCTGTTTTCTGTACTTCTGTTGTTGCAGTCAAAATTGTTGCTTTGTGACAGATGCGATGATGAGTATCATACGTTTTGTCTGGATCCACCACTCAAAGCTGTACCCTCCACAGGCTGGTTCTGCCCATCCTGTGTTGCTGCTGAAGAGAATCTCAGCCAGGTGGGAACCCGAGCTTCCAAGACAATGTCATCATCAGGCACCAAACCCGCGGCAGTGCCGATCCGATCTTCTGGGAGAAAATCGATACCGGTCTTGTCGCCACCCTCACCCAAGGCAGCAAAGAAGGAGAGCCCCAAAGCCACTTCGGCTGTTGCACAGCCAGTGAAACGCGGACCAGGTACGAATCCACAGGATGACAGAAATGCAAGTTGGAACGATGTTCCCTGAAACACTCACCTCTTCTTATTGTCGTTGCATGAACCAGGACGACCACGCAAGCATCCACTGCCTGAAGAGGCTCCACCTCGCAAACGAGGGCGCCCTCCAAAGAACAAAACTCCGCCTCCACCTGTGGAATCTCCGCCACCGCGAAAGCGTGGCAGACCACGAAAGCACCCTCTCCCGGAACCAGCCGAGTCCTCGACCAGTAAAAAGAAAGCGTCGCCAACAGCGTCCGAGCCCGAGCCTACTGTCAAGAAGAGAGGACCTGGTCGACCTCCCAAGGTGAAGACGGCGCCGGAACCAACACCTGAGCCACCTGTGAAAAAGCGTGGCCCAGGAAGACCCCCGAAGAAACCGAAAACCCCTCCAGAAGAAGAGCCAGCACCAGCTCCGGCACCGGTCAAGAAAAGAGGCCCTGGTCGACCTCCAAAGGTGAAAACTCCACCGCCAGAGCCGGAACCAGTAGTGGTTGTGCCTAGGAAACGAGGAAGGCCACCGAAAACACCGCCACCCCCTCCTCCAGAGCCGGAACCTGAGTCCGAACCTGAATCCGAGCCCGAAGTTGTCGTCCCCAAAAAAAGAGGACCAGGGCGTCCACCCAAGGTGTCACGCAAACGATCCAAGTCGCCAGCACCGCCCAAAAAGGCTTCAGAGGCGAAGCCAAAGGCCGAGGAACCCCCACCGAAACGGGCCAAGGGAGGATCAACAACGGCTGCAGCAGCCGCTGCCGTGAAAGAGAAGACCGCCCCTCCAGAGGCTGCCAAACCTGCAGTGAAGGTGAGCAGAAGTGGGCGGACGGTGAAGCGAACCTCTTTCCATGATGAGATAGATGAGGGCGAGCAGCACTTGAAATCTGTAAAATACGCGGAACAGCAACGGAAAGCATCCGAGTTTGTTTCGAATCAAGCGCCGGAAGAGGAGCCGCCATTTGTGGATCCTAACATCCACGAATTGGATTCGCACGACGTACATGGACTCGATGCTCAATTTCTGGAGGTAATGCCCGATGTCGGAGACATGAGTCATCTGGAAGGGTTGGAGGACAACTTCAGCCACGAGCACATTGACCTTGGTGGTGTTGAGCCCACTCCTGTGGTGGTGCCAGCACCAATGCCGCTTGTTCAGCAGGAGGCCGTGTTCCCAGTGCACGCTGAAGAGGATATGAAACCTGCTGCTGTGGAAACAGTCCACACAGACTCCGTGCCTCAGGTTCAAGCGCAAGCTGTGGCACCAGTTGAGACAGCTCTGGTACACATGGTTCAGACGGACCTTGCTTCTCTCCCCACAACACCTGGCACAGGAATCATTCATGCGATCCCGGAGCCTGCTGTAGTACTAGTAGTACCCACCCCAGCTCCAGCTGTTGAGACTCCTACTGCTGCACCAGCACCGGAACCGCCCAAAGTAGACCAGGTGCAAGCAACCCAAACAACAGAAGTAGCTGCAGTCCCGGTGCCAGCTCCGCCGGCAGCTGCAGTCCCGGTGCCAGCTCCGCCGATAGCTCCTCCGCAGGCAGCTGTGCCCGTTCCGAAGGCAGCTGTGCCCGCTCCACAGGCCCCAGTACCAGCCCCAACACCGACACTGGCCCCAGTACCGGCGCCAGGGCCTGTTGTAACACCAGCTGCAGCCGCGCCAACAATTACTCAGCCTCCACCGGTTGCGGCACCAGCTCCTGCCGTTGCTGAATCGGCACCAGAACCCCCTGCGTCCGTGGAGAAGCTTTCTGGAGTTGATGAAGCGGTTGTTCCACCAATCCAAGCTGAAGCTGCAACATTGAAGCCTCCTCCTGCAGCATCAGCGGCATCGGGGGAGACGGATGCATCAGCCAACGAACCCACTGTAGCAGCAAAAACCCCGAGGCGTAAACCAGGGGCAAGGGAGTGCATGCAGATATCGCGTAGGTTTGGTGTCTGTCCTCCGACCGAGAAGCAAATGTCTATCTTGCTGGTGAGTTTCTTGGGGAATGACGCAATCAATTCGTTGCTCGCGGATTCGATTCCTTTCGTTCACTCATGGTTTTCTTTTGTTGCATGTCAGGATTACTGTAAACGTGGGAAAGTGGAGCATTTGATTCGAATGAGGGAGCGTCTGGATGAACACAGTGGGTTCCTCGAGCAGCAAATTGCTGGTCTAGAAGCACTCGTACAGGAGACAGGGGAAACTGATGTAGTTGTGCCTGCGATGCCAGAGGGCGAACAAGGCGAAGGCGGTGCATAGGAACCAGTTGTCAGGTCAGCCCACTGCGAAGACATGTGCATTTTACGTAAACCCCCATTTGGTTGGGTATCGTTGTGTATTGGGTGGGTTGTTTTAACAGTTAAATGATGATGAATACCATTTCTGTTTTGTCGCGTCCCCGATGGCGCTTTCGTTAGCTTAGTTGCTGATTGAAAAGAATTGCGGAGCCACTTCGTTAAGCCAAGACTCTCGGATTTGACTGACTCCCCTGATGTAGGTCTTCTTGGTTGTGACTAGTTCGGTGTAAACGACACACTTCGGGGCTGGATTTCTCCCGAACAGCGTAGAGGTTGGGTGGATGGAAACGGGTCGATTGCCTACTTTGGTGCGATACTTGCGAGTTGAAGACAGCACACCGCCTGTTTCATCCACTTGTTTCGTTTCTTTGACTCGCTCTGCGGATTGTAGGAAAAGTCCCGCACAAACACATTTCAAGAATGCCTCCATGTCCTCGCTGCACGACTTTGAGACGTCCATGCCGAGTCCATTTCTGTCAACTGGCCGAGTGCAAATTGCACGAAGCTGATGATGCACATCATTTGCTCTAGACATTGCTCTGGCACTGATAAAGCTTCGACGGCACCACTCTCCATGCAACAGTTTGCCCTTGCCGCTCTCTTTGTTCTTCTTTTCCTTCGACTTGCGTGAACTTGTATAAATTGCTTCAGTCCTCCACGCTCTATAGATATTCAAGAATGTTGGTAGGTCTCCTTCATGGGAGGCGAATCGGCGATGGGCTTCTGCAGCCTTTTCGGATAGTTGATCCCCACTTGGTCGGAACAAGATGTTTTCGGCACTGAGCATGGAAACAGCAACGAGAATCTCGGCCGTGCATCCATATTTCTCCGACTGCAGCAACAGATGAGCAAACGTAGGATCCAAAGGAAGCCTGGCCAACTTTGAACCGTAATCGGTCAGCTGCATTTTGTCGTCGAGGGCACCCAGTGCAAACAAGTGCTGACAGGCACTCTTCAAACTCTGTGGATTTGGAGGTGTGATAAATTCAAACTTCAGAGGGTCTTCTACTCCCATCCCCTTCAATTGCAGAACCACTTGGGCCAAGTTGACCCGCAGAATCTCGGGAGTGGTCGTATCTTGAAGCGTCTCAAAGGCGTCTTCTGTGTACAATCTAAAGCAAAAACCCTTTGACACACGGCCAGCACGGCCAGTCCTTTGCGCCGCCTGAGATGACATCATGAGGAAGTTTAGTGCCCGTGAAACAAAACAAAAAGCGAATGCCAATTCAGCAACACTAGCTAGCTATCCAGCCAGAGAACGTACCTGGGCTTTGCTAATGTCTTGGACATGAAGACTTTCCATGCCAGTCGAACTGCTAAACTCCCGACTCTTTTCCTTGCCAGTATCGACAATGTAGCGTATGCCCTGCAATGTCACTGACGTTTCGGCAATGTTGGTGCTGAGGACGATCTTTCGTGTGCAACCTTCTGGCTTTGGTTGAAAGGCGAACATTTGCATTTCGGGTGGCAGGGCGGCATAAAGAACGCAGACCAACACTCCATTGACGATATTGGCAGTTTTCGACAAGTCCGTGCCGATTCCTCGAAGAGATTGGACAACGTCCCCAGTCAAAGATTTTGTCAAGTTGGCAGTTTCGTCGAGATGGCTCTTGAGCAACAATGCCAAGTCTTCGATTTCTTCTTGCCCCGGAAGAAAAACCAGAATATCTCCTTCTTCCGAATCCTCGTGAATTTGAAGAGTGGCACAGAGAGCCGCATCGATGTAGTCCTTTTGGATACCGTGAGGATGCCAAGTAATGAGACGCACGCACAAATGGTGAGAGTTGGAAGGGGAATAACATCAAAGTGCAGGAACTGCAAAGTAATTTTCCTCGTACTTCTTGTGGTTCTTTCGTGTAGATAATCTGGACAGGATACTGCCTCCCTGGAATTTTGATAGTTTCGGCTCCCTGAAAGAAGGCCAGGAACGTTTCTATGTCCAATGTAGCCGACATGACCACCACCTTGAGGGGTGGCAGATTCTTGGCTTTTCCCTGGGATTTCTTTCTCGCTTCCATTGCTCTTTTGCAAGCGCCAAACTATATATATAGATAGAAACCAACATTAAAAAATGCTTGCATTAGTGCACCAGATCACCTTTCAACGCCCACAAAGCCACATCAAATTCTTGTCTGTTTCTTACCAGCACATCCGTTTGGAGCGATCGTTGATGGGCCTCGTCTAATAGAATCACCGAGTAGGCCGATAAGAGCGGATCCAGCATTGCTTGACGCAGCAGCATTCCATCCGTGGCGTAAATCAATTTCGTGGACGGATTTGTTTTGTCATCAAAACGCACCCTGTAGCCCACTTCCGATCCTAGTCGGCAATTCCGCTCCTTGGCTACTCGCGACGCCACTGTGATTGCTGCCACTCGTCGCGGCTGCGTCACACAAATGGCAAAAGCTCTGGTCAGAGACGTCATATCCAAAACATACTGAGGAATCTGTGTAGACTTTCCCGATCCAGTTTCGGAAGTCACCAGGACAACTTCATGATTCTTGATCTTGTCGCAAAACTCTGAACGAAACTTGAAGACCGGGAGGTTCTTTCTCGCTTCGGCAATCGATTGCCGAGTGTCGCCGCCAGCAGAAGCGCCATGCTTTCGTTTCTTGAACAAACTTGACATGATCTGCCGTATCACAGGGTGGTTTAGAGCACTGGTCGCTATTAACGTCTTAATATAGTTGGACAGAGATGCAACAGCGAGACAACTATCCGGATACTATGACGACAAAGGCTTTGAGGCTTCCAAGAGGAAGATACTTGCGTTTGCGATGTCTCAGTCACGAGAAAAAGATTTGAGGGAATGAACGGGGACTTGTCACTCCTGTGCTCCAAGGGTGGCAACATAACAGGAGGGTGGGTCGTTCATCCACATGCATGCCATGAGCCCTCGAAATGAGCCAAGGCACGTTTGGGCTTGAGAATGATTTTCCTTTTGTCCTCTCCCTTCCCACATCAAAAACCTTCCAACTAAAAAACCCTTTGTCAACTTCTATAACAACGAAACAATTCCAACACGCCCAACATGCCCAGTACCATTCATGAGACCGATGCAACTCCTGTCGCTTGTATCATCTGCCTGCAAGAAAGCATTGCTTCACCTCTGGCTTTGGCGGGGTGCGGCCATGAGTTTTGCAAAGGCTGCTTGGAGCAGTGGTTTGAAAAGTTTGACTACGAAACCGCAGTAGCCCCAAACTGCCCCAAATGTCGTACGGATGCCTCCCAAAAAGATATTGAGAATGTGCTTGGACGTTCTCTCAAGAGGAGTGACGCCACAATGAGTACTAGTAGTAGCCAAGAGCCAACGCTTGGGACAACTGAAATCGATGCATTCACCAGGACATACCTGGAGGATGCTGGAGCAAAGCAGTGTCCTGACTGTGGAGTGTGGATTGTCAAGGAAGAAGGCTGTGACAACATGAAGTGCCGCTGTGGTTGCTGCTTTTGTTTCGCTTGTGCTCCAGAAATATGTACATGCGGAATGCTGGGAACCTACTACGACAACGTGCTTGGAAGGGAGGATAGTAGTGAAGAGGAAAGTGATGAAGAAGAGATTCAATTGGAAAGTTTAGAAGAAGAGACATGGAACAGCTGGGAAAGCTACACCTGTCCCGCAACGGGACGGCGACGATGGAGGCTTCGCACGGTGACTGAACCAAGCCCACAAATCAATCAAACACAATGTGGACATGGATAAATATTGCTTCCTCTCTCTATATAATATACAGTTTTCGAATTGGCATGTAGCATTACTCGTACTTGGGGGGATATGTAGATTGAGAACGCCGCAGCGTCGGTGGATACCGGTAGTCCGCCCGTTGGCTGATGGCTGCACCGCAAGGAGTGTACCGGTACCAGCCTGACATGCGGACCTGGGTAGGCGGAGTAGAAGTAGCGATAATGGTTGTAATTCTTCTTGTGAACGTATCCGCGATTTTGGAAGTGTCTAGCCACACCCCAAACAGTGCAGGAAGTATCTAATCGTTCATTTATATTGTGGATGCGCTAAGTGCCAGCAATCACTAGCCAGCTAGATGCAGTAAGCGCAGATCCCAGAGGTAGCTGCCCAGCCATGCTGTTCGACAGAGTTCGCACCTTTGTTGCCACCTCCTCAAAAATCATCGCAAAGAGCTACCGAGTACACTCTGGCTAGCTTCCATGAAGAAGAACACAGACTGGTGCATGTGAATTCTATGATGAAGAAACTCATTGCTGACGGCTAGGACTCGACTCGACTCGATCTGATGAGGATACATACATGTACCTGGTTACTGCGACAGCCAAATACTGTACAGTACATACATTTACATGTACATACGGTAAGGTGTGCAAAGATATTTACGGTACCGAAGTTGGATCTTTGCCCGTCTTTTAATAAAAATAATTGATCTTACCGGTCACAATTAGATCTACCGGTACACCGGTACGGTACCGCGATCAAAAGTAAGTTGTGTGACGTGTTTTCGTCTCGTTGGCACGATCTCCTCACTTTTTCTTCTTTCTCGGATCAGCGCGTTGCTTCGTTTTGTTACTATCATAGTCTACCACGTTGAACCTAAATTTACTGTGAGGGGAGACTGGGCAGTGACATGCAAATTATTATAGACGCGACTTAGGAGCTATACTTCTTCGTGTGGGATGTTGCAATATGAAATTGAGATGGGCTCCATGTCATCGTTGCCATCAGAGGGTTCTGATGCAAACCCTGAGTTTGATAGGCTTTCGACGAGGCTTTCCCTCTTTTCCTTCTTTGCTGGAGGTTCCAATGCTTCTGATGTAAACCCTGAGTTTGATATGCTTTCGACGAGGCTTTCCCTCTTTTCCTTCTTTGCTGGAGGTTCCAATGCTTCTGATGCAAAGCCTGAATTTGATAGGCTTTCCACGAGGCAATCCCTCCTTTCCTTCTTTGCTGGAGGTTCCAATGCTTCTGATGCAAAGCCTGAATTTGATAGGCTTTCCACGAGGATATCCCTCTTTTCCCTCTTACGGAGGTTCAATGTTCTTGCTTTCTGCTTTCATCTCCAGTCTTCAATGCATTAAAAGTTCTCTGTTTGCTTTGTTGAATGCCTCTTGGAGTTCGTTATCGTCATCCAACTCTTTTGAGATCTTCTCAAGCTGACCAACGATTTCCTTGCATTCCTGACGGTGCAGAATCTCTTCTACTTCTTCATTGATTTTGTCTTGCACTTGTTTTCTTCTCTTCTTCTTGGATTTGGTACTTGAGGAATACTTTGTATGCAGCATGTCTCGAAGACTATAGTGTTTTGTGTTGAGTGAGATGACTTTTCTATCAAGGTCATAAGCAGCATTGGTGCACGTCGACTTACCTGGCTCCAATCCTTTCTCTCACAAGGAGCTCGCTGGCTTCATACCATTGTCCGTTCTCTTCCCTGACGAAGCCACCTTTTGGACTAGCATCGCGTACCACCGCAACAACGGAGCTGACGATCAGCGACTTGTCCAACTTGCACTGAGCATTGGCATACAATGGTAGAAAGTGCTCGATTGTGTCCCGGTAAAACTGATTCCCCGGATGTTTTTGCATTGACTAAGACGTGGAAAACATACGATGAAAGATGTAGTTGAGTTGTTGGAATGATTTCTAGAGGAGAGTAATCAGTCCATGCCATTTGACTTTTGATCCAAAACGTACCTTTCCACCTCTTCCACAGATTACATCCTTGTCACCTGGAACCCATCCTTCTGGAAATGGCTTCATCTTTGAATCCAGAGAGGATTCGTCATTCTTCTTTGTCTTTCTCGCGGCTTTCTGCATGTTGGCAATTTTGTTGCTTCGACGAGGCAAAGGAAAGGCACCCATTATTCTTTCTTCGTTTTCGATTTATGTCCACAAAAAAGTATCTTCCCTTTCTCGGACGGACATGCACGTCCGCCTCGTTCTGATCTTCTGATCAGATGATTGCATGGACCGACATCATTCATCACTGGGAGAGGCCAGGTTAATCCCAAAACGCATAGATTGTCAGCGTTGCTCATCAAGTTGTGATCACTACCGGTGGATGGTGGGTTTTGTGATGTGCTGACCGGTATCCGCACGGCTGAAACGTATGATTTAAAGGCTATGACCCCTTTCTTTTCATCTCATCTTTCAGTAGCTATCGGCCACAGTGAATTCTTAAAAATGTCTTGGGTGACATATGATTCTTTAAGTGCCGGTGTTCTTTGTGACCGACGAGGTACGTGCCTCTCTCCCCTCACAAATCGGTACCAGTGAGGAGGCAAAAAAACCAGCCTAGGTCGGTCGCCATTAGGATGGAGGCCATGCCAAGGAAGCAACAAAGAAGGGCAAAGCCAGCTGAATTAACCATCAGACCTAGTTCAAGCGATGCGTAAGCACTTCGCTGGAGCTCAGGGCTCCAATTTGGTGGGATTGGCTTGTGTGCTCCGGTTGGCTCTGCTCTCCCAGTGAAGAGACTGGGTACATCCCTACGCAACATCGAATTGCTCGCTGGCTTCCACTTTTGATTGCGGTAGTATCTTTCTGTCACTGGCAATGTGCCTGGGGCGCGGTGAAGCAGCTGACAATCTTGCTTGGTGATTCGTGGTGCCGAAAGAAGGACGTGCAAGCAGATTGTGCGTGATCTGTTGTTCCTCCACGCCAGTTCTTGGCGCAAGAAAAGGGCCCTGGCTCTGGTCCATTGTGCAAAATTTGAAGATTGCTTTGTTTTTGGTGGTTGACGGGGGCTGTGTGTCGGGGTTTACGCGGGTCCGCAACACAGCTGCAAATGAGCCAGGAATGTCAATGGAGTCGGCCTTGTTGTACTGGCTAAAAGAAACAGAGAAGCGTCCACACCGATTCAGTTGTCGTGTACTCTTGTACTCGTGTGCTCAGAGCTCCGGGGTTCCTGTTTCTCTTGTTGGAACGGACGTGGAACCGAAGTTGTCGCCGTTGCTTGCCGTCCATTCATGGATGTCTGTGACTGGCTCCCCCTGCGTGTCTTACCGCTTATGTGAAAGATATTTGGAACTCTTTAGCTATGAGGTTTTAAAATGCGTAGATAACCTAGCTGGATTTAACTTTTAGGCCAAAAAAGTATCAAACTACCGGTACGACGAAAACGTGTTTTGGAATTTGAATGTGAGGTCGAAACTGCATACAGCTCTCCATGCAATGAACCGCAAAAAGCATCGTGATCTCGATCGAGAGACCGATGATAGATGAATACCAGTAGGCTCAACAATACCAGTGCACCAGGTCCGACCAATAGCAAGATAAGACTATAGCAACAGCATGAAGAAAGGACGTCGAGGTTCACGAAAACAAGAGAAGAAGAGCAGAGACGTCGAGGATGAACCACCGAAACCTAGAACTAAAGGTGGTTCCGCAGGGGTATCCAGAGATCAGGTCCTTGCTGCTGCCACTGTGGTTGGAATCGCTTACTTGGCGCTGCCATTGATATTTGGTGGAAACGAAATGGGAAAGCCCCTTAGATTGGACAATACTCCAAAATTCGATACGGACAACTTTGCCAAGTCGAATGCTTTGACTGTCGAGGAGCGACTTCTGGAGGAGTGGTATACCGGTGGTGGTGTGACTATTGAGGTGGGAAAAGAAGGCCATAGAGGACTTGTTGCAACCAGAGACATTCAGCACGGTCAAGTCATCACCAGGTAAGCGATGATAATGGAGTATCGCCAGTGAAAAAACTGCAGTGGCGGCAAGTTGCTCACATACCGGTATCACTTTTTCCGACACCTCATCAGCGTACGATATCCCGACCTGGAGCAGGAGCTTAACCGGGAGTACCCAACGCTTCGTACACGAGTTGAGAAATTCCTCAACACTGCAAAAAGAGAGATGCATGGACAAACAACATTAACAACCGCGAAAGTCATGTCTCTTCTCAAACTATTAATGGAAGAGTCCAAAGGAGAGGATTCCTTTTTGAGTTCATTCATTGAATCACTCCCCAAGAACTTAACAGACATTGCTTGGTATTGGTCTGATACCGAGAGACTGTGCGTGGTGCCCCGTCCCGACTCGGAGTCCCTTCATCATGATCTCAACGTTTATCACAGGGTAATGGAGCAGGTAAAGAGCAATTTTGAGCCACTGCAAGAAATATACAGCAAGGAAAAAGTCGAATGGGCCTATCTTATGCTGAAAACCAGAGGATTTTCGCAATTCTTCCTTCCGTTACTACATTTAGCTAATCACAATGCATTGAAAGCAGTACCAGCGTTCCTTATACCTTCTTCGGGTATGGCTGCTTACGTTGCAACACAAAACATCAAGGCCGGAGATCCTGTCTACACGAGCTACGGGACGATGACACCTGTTGTAACGGCTGAACAATATGGGTTTGTTGAATCAGAAGAGGACGCTACGTACTTTGAAGTGCCATCAATCCATGAAGAAATCTTACAATCAGAACGAACAAAGGATGAGCCGCTTTGCACACAAGAGCCCGTACGCTTTTTTGGAGACATAACCACACAGAGAGTTGGTACAAAATTCAAAAGTGCGGGTCATTCAACTTTCTTTAAAGCATTCATGCCAGACGAGCGGTCGTATGCTTGCATTCGTGTCTTACTGCAAACCGAACGTGATACGGATGTTGCCAGATACATTTCCGAAAAGCTAGCAGTGGACCTGGAAAAGTACAGGTCGATGGCTAGTGCCCCACATTGTCAGTCTGCTGAAGGAAACATGCCCTTGATTCGAAAGGCGAACCAAGTAACAGCAAAATTGATGGAAGGGGCCCTCAAAGTAGCCGAGGACGGTCGAGACTGGAAGATCGCCTATCCAGATATTCCAAGCTACATAATGAATAACTAGCAGTGCAGCTTAATCTCAATCCTATAGTAATGGTTTGCCGGCATAATTTGTGCTACGGGTCGAAATATTCTTGTGAAGCCATCACAGCAGTCGATTCGGCTTGATTAGGCATCATCTTCGAACACATCGAGCAGGATGGTACTAGCCGTGGTCTCGTCGTCTCCTTCACCGGTGCAAACGTCGGAAAGGTGTTTGGTGCGATGGCGCCAACTCTGGAGCAAGCAGCACATCTTTTTGCAAATGACACAACCCACAATCCGAAACAGGCATAATAGACCGCTTTGGATGATTTCCATCTTCCCAATTCGTTCAGTTCGGTTTGTGTAGCTGTTGGTGTCGTCCAGGAGCGGTTCCTTGGACCATGTGCCTGCTTCAAGGTCTCCGCCGCCTTTTCGGACCGATTTCCACTTTTGCTCTGGCTGACCTTGAGACCATGCTCCTTCGTGACGGACAGAACCATCTGGGCGGATTTCCTTCCCTAGTATCCCATGCATCTCTCCATTCAACCATTCTCCTTCATACCAAGCACCATCAGTCCAAGACATTCTGCCATTTCCATGGAACTCTCCTTCAAAAAATTCACCTTCATAGACAGAATCATCAACAAAGACGCACTTGCCTCTACCGTGTCTCTGGCCATCAGCCCAGCTGCCTTCGTATGTTGACCCATCTTGATAGGTCATCCTTCCTTCTATCATCTGACTGTTGTGGTATTCGCCAACAAACGCTCGGCCATCTGTGAAGCACATGGTTCCCTTTCCATGCTTATGATCATTGCGGAGCTCTCCTTCATAGAGATCCCCATCTCCGTTAGAGAGCCTTCCTCTTCCAGTCCATCTTCCATGCTTCCAGTCACCTTCATACCAGCAACCATTTCCGTAGTCCATGCGGCCTTTGCCATGCGGCATACCAGTGGACTCTAAGAGAAAGCCTGTGTAGACGCCCTGTTCCCCATATGGGTCCAGGATGGTCTCCTGTTTGACTTCACAGATATCAACAATGCCGCAAACGGCACCTTCGCTGTCGAACGTTCTGTCATCAGAGGCACCGCCACTACGTTTCTTCCTTTTGCTGGCGTGTTGAGATCGTTTGATGGCATGAGATCGCTTGGCCTTGCTGGAAGAGTTAGACTTCTTCTTGCTTTTGGCTTCTTGCAATTGCCGGACCACTCTGTCGAGATCTACCAACTGTGACTTGAACGTTTCCACTTCTTGTCTCAGGCGATGGTGTTCTTTTTCCTCACGTGCGAGGAGTTCACCGCGGCAAACGGCGCCAACGCTATCGAAAGTTCTTTCGTCGGAGGAAGTCATGGTCGCAATTGTTTTGGTTTCTTTGATGTCTTGGTTGCACTGCGATAAAGAGATTGTGAGAAGAGGCGCAACCGAAGCTGCTGCTGGAACGGGACAGTTTGCTAATCATGATAAGTTGACCAGCCAAAGCATGATCCACAACTGGGGACCAGGTTGCGAACAGTATCCACGTCTGGTACCGGTACGATGTCCATTAGCGTTAGCATTTTTATTGATGCAAGGCGAGCCTCCAGAGCCCACAGAAAGCATTCACAAGATTCGAAAACGGTCAAAAATTTGTTGTCGTGTGCAAGAGGAAGACAAATCCTGTAGCCAAAACACTCGACGAAATGGTTTTGTTCTGCATGAACAAGTTGTAAAGTAATGATATGCACGATCCATAACCCGATTATAGGTACCGTGCCCCACAGTGTTTTGAAGCGGTTCGGAACCATTCGTTCCCATAGATACCTTGGTTTCGTCCGATTGAAATTATTGTCCAAACAACATCAGATTCTTTGAAAAGCAAGAAGTTCCCACAAACCCCTTTGCTATTGCTTTTCTCCCTCCACGCTTCCCTCTTCGACTGCACTATTTCAAATAATTTTCTTCACAATGGACAACGTTATCTTTGCAAGGTTCAATGACACCGATCACGCTAAGGTTGCCTTTGACTCATTTAACGAAATCTACAACGAGTTTTCGCGGTCAGATGACGAAATTGGAGTCTACGTAGAAGACGACGACATGCCTCACACACTTGGTGGTGTTCCTACAACGGGCGTGATTTTTTTGGTCATCGCCTTGTCAGGCATAATCGGAGCGTGTGTATTCTGTTGCAACTATTACCACGAGAAGACGGGATCATGCTGCCCTGGGGCGCGAACATCGGAGACTGGTATGTTACCGTTCCAATGTGGTTCTTGACTGAATCGAATCCAGCAAATGCGTTTCTCAAGATTCCCAATGTTTTCTCTCTTGTAAACAGAGCAAGAAGAGGAAGAACCTCTCCGAACCAGTCAAGACATTGAACGAGGATTGAAGCTCAAGGTACGTACAGAAGGTTTTGATGGAAGGTCAGAAAAAGAAAGCCTCTAGAGTGTGCTCACATTCTATCAATCATCGACATTTGATTCGCAGCAATGGGACGCCGTTCGGGAATCTTATGAAGACGATGAAACTCGCGCAAGTGACACCTCTGAAGATAATGAGGAGCCGAACGAAGTTTCCAGTGCCGGCAGCGTAACAGAAGACGAGAGTGATACTGGCAGCATGAGCGATGCAAACACTGTGAATGGCAGCATCCTGATGCAAAGCCCTGACTTTAAGCAACTGCAGAAGAAGCCTCGGTGTGTTTTGTGCTCAAAGTTCTTTGATGACACCGACATCGTCACCGAGTCTTGGGAGCCCAGTTGCAGCCATAATTTCCACAAAGAGTGCATCGTAAAATGGCTGCAAAAGAAAGATGGGTGCCCTGTTTGCAAGAAGGAATATATTGTCGGAATTTCCCTTGGCGAAGAACAGATTCCATGAATGTCAATTTGTTGTTCGTCGCCTGCTTGGCAGACGTGTTTGTTCAGGTGTGGTGGATTCCGTTGCTAACAGTATATACATTGTGGATTAGGTAGGAATTGATTTATTTATAGATGTGTTACATATGGGCGTTTTCGCCGTCACCTTGAGGGTTGTTACTAAACGGTGAAAGCGCTGGTTGTTTCCCCCCCAACTGGCTACTACTGTACTAGTATGTCTACCGGTACCACCAATCTGCAGGGACGTAGCTACAGGCAGCGCCGAAGGGAGGTGGATATGGCATACCCGTATGATAGGAAGAATGGCTGAAGGGATGCCCCGGAGTGATTCTCAAGAAACAGCTTCATGGTTACGTTACACATTTCTACTTCTTGTTACGTTACACATAACTACCCTCAGTACTCGCGCATATCTTGATAACAACAGGCTCGACCCAGCCTATTTTTCTCTGCCACGGATCACTCAGCCAAAGAGGGATAACATTGTACTCGTCAGCCTCCAGCCTCCGGATTGAGCGACACTGTACACGTGTACCGAAAACGAATTTATCGGCAGCAAGAAGTCATGGCATTGTAGACTCGTCCAGCCTTGTACTTGATCAAAGCAGGGTATCCTCCCTTAGCATACACGGCCTCCTCGGCAACACGATTAGCAGCATCTCCGACACCCATGTTAGAACAATTTCTAAAGCGTTTGGATGGAAAGAGAAACGAGGACAAAAGTCAAGTTAGACACAAAGCCAAAGACTGAAACACAGGAGATACAATCGAGCAATGCCGACCGCACCTTGCAGATATCTATCAACTCGTCTATCGAATTGTGATGATCCTTGATGCCTTTCCTCGATCGAGGAATCCAAGCTCACACCCCTGCCGGTACCATCGGCATCCATGGTGTGGCGATGAGCAAGTCATGCACGCTTTTCGTCTTTTGGAGCAAATCGACTCCCACGTATCGCTCAACGCGGGGTGAAATCAT